AAAGTGCCTGATTTTATGCCTAGCACAGGCATACACATCAACTTATTTTAAATCAAATTAATGATGCTCAGCTTTAAAAATCACAAAAAATATGCCGTTTCTAGACCAGTGACCCATAAGCTTCTTCACAGGAGGCCTGAGGGAAGGCAGGTTGAAGGGCTTGGACAGAGTCCTCCCAGAAACAAACTCCCCTATGCACGGCTAGAGAAAGGGGGCTATAAGAAGTGAGATGGGGCTAGAGCCATACTGTGAGCAGAACAGCTGGGCATGGACTTATATGGGAACCCAGGCAGGATGGGGAAGAGCAGGAACCTCAATTCTGAGCAGGAAATCAAGCAGAGAGACAGATAGACAAGGCAGAGAAGAGCCACCAGCGGCTTTTGTTTTCCAGTTATGTTCTCTTTGCAACTTGGCTCAGGGAAACAATTTCCCTTACTTTTGGGTTTGGAGGTTTCTCTGTACTTCCATTAAACACAGACTTACTATACCATGATTGCAGACATTCCACAGCATGTACAGGGGATTGATTCTGGGACTCCTAGGATACCACAATTCTCAGACATTCAAGACTCATATAAACTGGTGCAATATTTGCATAGAACCTATGCATATCTTCCTGAATCCTTATAACCTAACACAGTGCAAATGCTAAGCAAATAGGTGCTATACTGTATTGCTTAGGGCATAATGACCAAAAAAGTCTGTACATGTTCAATACTAATGCAAGTTTTTAAAGACAATTTTGATCCATGGAGGAAATGTGGAGCCCATGCATACAGAGACAACTGTGATTATTTATTTGTCTCCACACAGCTACCAACTCTGTGGGTGCAGTCTAGCCAACTTTGACTTCCAGCAACTGGAATGTAAGAGCTGCTCCAGGTACCACTGATTCTCTAGGGACCAACCATATCCAGGGCAGTCACTGGACCTTCGAAGCACAAGAGGAAAAGCAACCCTAGAAATTGTCACTCCCAGAGAACTGGGGTGAGGCTCATCATCAAACGCAGCAGCCCAAGTCAAGTTCAGAACTTTGCCCTCCACCTTGCTGCTGTGCGCTCTGAAACAACAGAGGACAGAATGCAGTCATGCTCCTGACAGCCACTTGCCAGAGGAGAAGGGTGTGTGCAGAGATGACACAGAGCCCTGTCATTATTGCACCAAGGGGCCAGGGCTGGGGAGGAGGCAGCGTCTGCCAGGGGCTGGATGTGGGGCATGAAGGAGGAGCACCCTGGAGAAGCCAGGGCCTCCGCCCTTTTCCCTGGGGCCGCTGCAGCACGTGGCACCCTGTCTTCTACCAAATATGAAATGCAGTGCCTGGGCTTGGGCATGAGAAAGCAAAGGCCTGAAATGTGATCCGAAATAAATGACACCCTTTGGCTCCACTGTAGTGAACACACCCAGCACGGCTCTGAGAGTGGCTCCCTGCTGGCCCATGGCCCATTTACCATGCTACAGGCAGACAGAGCCCACCGCACATCCTAGCCTCCCCACAGGGAAAGGACTCGTCCAAAGTGGAGTCCTCCATATGCTTGCACTGTCTTATCCAGCCCAGCTGTAACAGCCTCCCGTGGGGCGGGGTCCTAGACAAATTCTGTACCAGGGCTCTGGGGTGCTGTTCCCTGGTGGGAGGGATGGCTGCTCCCCACCATTCCATCTCTGTGCCAATCCTCCTTCTTAGGAAGGACCTTTCTCAGCTCCTGGGCAGAAGAAAACCCTGGCCCTTGGTCCCTGACTTATATGCCTTCCATACATCACCAGGAGTTCTGCAACCAACAGCAAGTGAAATGGTTGGGAAAAAAAAAAATCTGCATCTGTACTAAACAGATATTTTTCTTGTCATTATTCCCTAAATAATATAATATAGCAACTATTTCCATAGTGTTTAAATTGTACCAGGTACTATTATAAATAATGTAGAGATGATTAAAGTATACAAGAGGATGGGTCCTATGTGTGGGTCCTATGCAAATACCATGTCATTTAGTGTAAGGAACTTGGGCATCCATTGATTTTTGGAATGTAGGACAGCTGCCTGTGGTGGATGAGGGACAGACACATTCACACCAGATGCAGAGCCACAAGATCCAGTGCTAGTTTACAAGAGCTCACAGCTTGGTTCCCTATAAAGGAAGCACCTGTGAACACTAGTAAAGACGTAGGAGTCTGAAGCAATGTTGGGGCCACTGGACTTGGAGGGGCCTTGAAGTCACTGTTGCAGACTCTGTCCCAGACCAGACAAAAGTTAGGACAACTGGCCAACTCTCTTCGTCTACGCCAGGCCATGGGCCCAGATGCCACACTCAAACACAATGCACCACTGTGCTCAGGCAAGCCAACCACCGTGAGGCACCCACTCAGGTAGTGTGGGACACACTTCCACAAGACAAAGCCACAAAGCTACCAAGGAGGAAGGCCTGCTAGGACATGTCCCCATACTCATTCTGTATAAAATAGCCATGAGATTTCTGGTGACAAGAATTTCCTGGTGGCAATGATGGAGAAAGAAGATGAAGTAGCAGAGAGAGGAAAGCTCAGACGGGCATCAAACCACATACACCATGCTGTGAGCTTGGTGAGTATTTTCACCTAATCCTCAAGAGCATCAGGAGAAAGTATCACTCACTCTAGACTCAGAAAACTGAATCTTGAATTTTGGGAGGGTTATTTCTTAGCCTGTGTGTGTGTGTGTGTGTCTGTGTGTGTGTGTGTGTGTTACTGAGGACTGAACCCAGGACCTTTGCATTGAGATACATCCCAAGCCCTTTTTTATTTTTTATTTTGAGACAGGGTCTCGCTGCATCACTAAATTTCCCAGGCTAGACTTGAACTTGTGATCCTTCTGCCTCAGTCTCCCAGAATACTGAGATTACAGGCATGTGTCAACACACCTGCCTGGAACTTGGATTCTGAAACAAAGTCTCCATAGTCCCATGTTGGGCTCCTGCCTCAGTATCCCAGGTGAGGCTATAGCTGAGCTGCAGGTATGACCAACATGTCCATCCCTGGGCAAGCTATAAAGGTGTGAGAGAAGCCAGGAAGATGGGGCTGGGGTGTGGTTGAGACCAGGAGAAAGCCAAGCACACTAGTACATAAGACTTTAGTGCCCACGTGACATCATTAGGCAGTTGCAATATAAAGTGGGATAAGAACCCAGTCTGAGGAGACTGACTAGAGAGACTTGGAGAAAATGCACATGCCCAGGCCCCTCGCCCATGAGGGGTCCTGAACCTTGTGAGCTCTGACTGCAGCTCTGATGTGATGCACTACAGTTCTGAGAATCTCCTGCTGGCACAGGGCACATGGAGCCTCTTGCCCCCTGCGCGGGGTTAAATACATCCCTGGGAAAGGACAGCAAGGGTAGAGCTTGCACATAAGAGCTGTTTTCAGACACAGCAACTCAGAAAAATCTGCTTCATACCCATAGCTGCTCCCCAAGGAGCATGAGAGGCACTGCACCCAGGGAGAATCAGCAGGCTTGTTCTCTGCATTAGGTCACTTGAGCTCCTGATGCATCAAGATGCGGTGTCTGCAGTACTGTGACATTTATGCTGGAAATTATTGCTGAGAAGATGGAAAAGTCCAAGCCTCAGGGAAAATGAGCTGCTAGGTGTCTACACTAAGGGACAATGTCCTTCATCTACCCAGTATCACTGCCAGAGATTGGAGCTGCGACCCTAAAAATCACATCCTCTTCATTGCATGCCAATCTGGGCCACTCCTTTGGGTTTTTTTTTTTTTCTTTTTTAAGATTGTGTCTAAGAGACTCTTTTAAATCAGAAGGATGAGGAAAATTCACTAAGTACAAATGTATATGCAGAGCAAACACTCTATTTCTAGGAAAAGCTGACAGAGTCAGCCAGGTGTTAACCAATGGGTCTGAGCACAAGGCTGTACCAGTTTCTAGTGACGTTCCAAGGCAGGAATGGGCTAGTAGTACTTCATGCCCCAGGAAGCATCTCTGTAGGGGACACTACTTGGGGACAAAGGTGGGCAAGTGTTTCTCCTTCTGGTAGCTGCTCACTGAGTCATCTTGACCTGATCCCTAGGGAAGGGAGCTTCGCCCACAGGAGACAGCTCCTGTCTCTGGATGCTGACTCTGGCCAAGCTGGCCCACACCTCTGGGACCTTGTAAAACTTAGGCTCACATCAGCTCCCTAAGGATGAGGGACAGAACATGGAACTCATCCTAACTTTTGAGTTCAAAAGGCTGAAGACTACAACCTGCTTCTGATCAAACAGCTTCACTTGCTGTTTGTGTAAGCCACGCCTAGGATTTCTTTTTTCTTTTTAACCAGCTGCCCAAGTGAAAACAGAAGTCACGTCTGAGACTGGGGGGAGGCTGGAGAGAATAAGCTGTGGTGTTCACATTTTTGTTGGGGCAACAGCAATGTCAGTATGTGTCCCATCCTTGCCAAGAAAAGCAGGATTCACATGGAACATACCTAATCTGGAACTTTGAGTATCAGTATGGATTTCACAAGTGGGAAATTCCCCACCTGGTTTACATGATGGGTTAAAATGCAGGTGGACTAAAAGCATGGCGTGAAACTACCTGGAGGCTATGTGTAAAAGGTGCATATGTAAATGAATTTTGAGTCTAGACTTGGATCCTATACCCAAGACATATAGTTAATCTACATGCAAATACTTTAAAATTGGGGGAAAAAATCCCAAATCCAAAGTACTTCTGGTCCCAAGAATTGTGGATAAGGAATACTCATCTGTGTGTAGCTGAAGACCATTTTCTTTAAACATGATGTCCCACAGTGCCCAACAAGAATATTCACTTTAGGATTAAATGGGGCAAAACAGGCTGGGTCACAAGTGCCATCTTCATTTCAAAGCATCCTTAGGACAAGCCAGCATGTGTGTATCAGAGAGTTACGTGTGACCCCTGCGTGGGGGCACGTGACCTCTACTCACAGGGAAGCTGCATTATCCATAGCTGTCCCAGCTGCCTGATGGGAGGAGACAAGTGGAAAAGACATGATACTTACAGGAACTTGCCATCCGTCTTTGATCCTATGAGCACGATCTGCTCAGACTCGCCCCGAGAGATATTTCCATGGAACCAGGGCATTTTCTCGTGGGCTGTGGTGGCGATTAGTTTCTCCAGCTGCGGCTTCTGACTGATGATGGCCTGCTCCAAAGCCTGGCCCTGCCATGAGTAGGGAGAGACCGTGCATCAGGCCAGGAAGAAATGGAGAAAGTCGAAGAAATAAGTCACATCTGGACTATCATGAGGCCTAATGTGTGAAGTGGAATCCAACTTCATTCATCCACTAATTCATCAGCCACTCATGGATTCATTCAGCACATAAAACTAGTGAGATAATATGTATTACTTAAGTGACTTCAGATGTATAAATAAGGAAACACTCTGAAATGGAATAAAAAGATTCACCTTTTCCAAGACAAATAAAACTTTGAAATACCATCTGGCTGAGGTCCAGAGAACAGGTATCCTGAACAGGCTGACTGTTCCATGTTAAAATCTGGCCATTTCCTAACTATCAAGAAGCTTGAGATGTGTAGAGGAAGGCACATCTTATCTGCCTGCCCCTGCAGGGCTTCACTGAGCATGTACAGCTACCTATGGACCCACAGGAAGCAGCACCACAGAAAGTGCAGGTGAGAAATTGTGAGTGATTACACGGATGTGACCACACAGAAGCCAAAACTGGGAAATGGAGCTGAGCACTATGCAAACTGATTTCCTCACTTTCTTAGTGGGAGAGAAAGAGATCTTTTTGACAGTAATTAATGAAGGACACTAGTTTGATGATTTGCATTTATAAAGAAATCCCAAAGGAGTAACAATAGAAATACAACCATGTCAAACAGCTGGAAGGAGGAGGGGAGACAGTTGGGAATGAAAGCACAGTGCTTTAATCACATTTCACAGATGCACTGAACAACACAGGCAGTGATGGCCACAGATACAGAAGCATCTAGAGCAAGATGAGTGCAGAGGCCAAAGCAGAGGGCTGTACAATCCACTCAGACGTTAGCAAGAACCACTGTGGACACAGGCGACAACACATGCAAACAGCAGGTGTGGACATCATGCAGAAGCAGCTGGTCTGGAAATCATGGTGTTGTCCACTGTTGTGACACTCTGGAAAAGGCAGAATGTAGAGACAAAAATTGGATGTGTGGTTGCCAGGGGCCAGGGTGAGCAGGACGTGGATAGAGGGATGGAGCTCCTGCTCATCTGAACTGAGGTGGGACTTACATGACGCTCTGCATTCATCAAAAATCACAGAACTGCATGCCCAGAAAGGATAAATCTACAGTGTATAAATTATACTCAATAAGTCTGATCTTTCTGCCTTGAAGAGTAAGACATATCCAATAAATTCTAGCTAAAAATACCAGGCTCATAGTATTATAGTACCTATCTGCAAGATGGGATTTACTGCAAAACACGGTAAAGGTGTAAAAAGAATTACTGTATATAACATGCAAAGTGACACAGTTGTAAATCAGCATGTGTCAGGCAAGACAGAAGAACACAGCCACACACATCCAGGGCTGCTTAATACCTAGGTCCAAGCAGGAGAGTGCCATTCAGGCCTGTTGACTCCTGACACCACATGCTTTTATAAAACTGGCAGGAGGGTGCTGGGGTGAGAAGGGAAGTTCAGTGGTACAGTGAGTTTAACATGTGTGATCACCAGCATCGGGGGAACAAAAAGCATGCAGCAGGAATGTAAACTCCCACGGCCTGTGCAACCTTTCTGGACTGAAACTATCACTACATCCAGATGAAACACACATGTCCTTTGCTGTGGCACACTAGCCCTCCAGGGTTCATCCTACAGACACTGCCCACAAGCTTGATAGAAAAGAGAGCAGATGGAAGTTACTAGCAGCACAGTCTGAGAACAATAAAAGCATACATGAGTGGTGCTGGTTAAATAAATTATGACACACACCAGGCAACACCAAGCCACAAAAGAAGGGGTGCCAAGTTTACACATGTGTGTCAAGAGAAGTTAGGAAGGTCGGTGTGGCCCTGTTAGGTAAATAAAAGCCAGAAATCACCCATCAGTGACTGTGAAAGGCCCTCCGGGGAACTGCATGGCAGGTTTTCCTGTGATGCAGAGACTCACACCACTGGTGTGACGGCCCCGTCTGTGTGGCTGTGAAGGAGGAAAGGCTGCTGGGGTGTGGCGGTACACGCCTAGGATGGCAGTGCTCCAGGAGGCTGAGAAGGGAAGGCTGCAAGTGTGAGCCTAGCTTTGCAACTCAGCAAGACCCTGCGTCAAAATAAACAGTGATAAAAAGTGTGAGGGATGCAGCTCAGTGCAAAGGTGCAGGGCTTCGGAAGGAAGGGTAGGAGGAAGAAAGGAGGGGAGGCAGGCAGGCAGGCTGTCTGTCCTCCAGAGCAAGGCATTCCAAGGCCCAAGTCAGTGCCTCCCGAGGTGTGTGCTCATTTGGGAGCCAGGGTAGACATCTAGGGGACTGCGGGCTAGGCAGTGTGGCAGGCAAGCCCACCTGCAGGTTCCACGTTTGCTTCACGTACTCCCTGATGAGGTTTTCCTTCAGGTCCTCAAAGGGCCCAGTCTTGGGTTGCACGCCGGGCGGCCGGTTGCAGGGCTTGGTGAGCAGGCAGACCAGGCCATCAGACTCCAGCGAGTGGTAGTGGCAGAGGTCAGCGGGGCTGCTGTGTGTGCGGCCACCCGAGATGGCATAGGTGCCGTTCAGCTCGCGCTCGATGGTGTAGTGGTGTGCCTTGCGCCCGTGTGCCACCGACAGTGCAAAGCCACCCAGGTAATTTCGGCTCTGGCGCAGCAGGTAGAGCCCATCAGTCATGCCCCCCTGCACTAGGTAATCCTCTGCCTCCTCACGGGTGATGTTGCCATAAAAGAAGGGCAGGTGGTTGGCGTTGTCTGCTGCGGTGCCGGCCATACCTGCGCTGGGCCTTCAGGGTGCACCTGGGTGCAAAGAAGGGAGAATATGGTGATGATTCCAGCAACAAGGCCATCAGACCCCTCTCAAGCTGGGGACAAGTCTTTCCAGCTCAGGACGGAAGCATTTCCCTCTCTAACTTACTGATTTATGATCATACTATTATTTCCCAATAGACCAAATCCTCTGTCAAACCAAACACACAGGATTTGATAAAAGTGAAAGAATTCATTAGTTGATTTGCTTTGTTTTGTCTTGTTGGCAGGGACAAAGATATCTAAGAAACACACTGAAAAGAGAAGTGCACAGAATACAATAGCAAAATAGGACTCAGGGTTCCCCTTTGAGTGGACAGGGATGCGCTGGAGGTAGAAGCAGAAGCCCTAGGTGCTCAGAGCAGCTGCCACCCTGGAGAGGGGGTAGTTTCAAGGAAAGCTCACCCTTGGTACAGTCTGTTGCCAGAAGATGGTGCCAGAGGCTTGTCATGGGCAGTCACAGGGGTCTCACTTGTGACCCTGTGAAACTGTCGTCTGTAGTCACCAGGCCCTTCTATCTTCAGCCTGGGGTGCAAGAATCAGCAAGCTCCTTCTGGAGGTGCAGAAAGTGAGACCCTCTCAGAGCTCCCTTGTGCATGGAGGCACCAGGACAACCCCTGGCTGCCACTGTTAGAAACAGCTGAGGGGAATGTCCTGAATGCCTGTGGGGGCGGCCACCCTCCCCACCTCTTGGCCCTTGAAGAGACAGTATAGGTCTCCAACAGTGAAGATATCAACAGAAAGACACTGCCCGTAAGGCACAGATGACCCCCCAGAAGAGAAATGAAGGCTGGCTCTAGGTGCATCTTTAGCAAGGAGAGTGTTTTGTAAGGAGGAAGATATAGTTTACCAATTCAAAAGGCATTCAAGAGTGTAACCAAAACAGGCTGAGTGTTCCTGAAAAATAATCCAGTGATGCTACCCATTTATCTGGGAAAAATCCCCTTCCCCTTCCTGCTCCCCCCAAATCTCCCCACCATACACACCACAACATGTACGTCACACATACATCCCACACACAATCTACCCACACAGCTCCTCACATACACACAACCACATGCACAACATAACACACACATCACACATACATTGTGTATCCACATAGCTCCCACATATACACAAACCATACACATGCACACAAACACATCACACACAAATACCCTTACCGCCCCTCACATGCACTTACTATATACCAAATATATCACACATCGTATATACACACTGTACACAAACACACATGCATGATTTGATGAAATAGTCTGTGGTATATATAAATCATCTTGTACATGGCTTTACAACCTACAAACACTGGCCTGGTGAGGAGAATAGAATTTCTCTTGATAACAGCACCACTGTGGCTCTGGACAGGAACACCTGCCATTATAATTTGTCATTTTGCTCTCTGTGCCCAGCCACATCACCACCTTTTCTGTCCTCATATGCTAGACCAACACATCGATGGGGAAGCCCTAAAAAAAAGAAAAACATGCTTCCATCGAGCAGGTATTTTGTGGACATCCGATAAACCTCATGAAAATGTTCAAAATTTGAACTTTCAAATTTTGTTCTAAATTTCTTGCTGTGTATGCACGTAGCCCTGGAGACCAGCTGACCCAACCCTCTAGATGCCCTGATTATGGCTGTATCGATTGAGCTTGGTTCTTGCTCAAGTTCACAGCTGCTTGGGAGAAGGGACCAATTCCAGCAAGTTCCCGATGACTCTGCTGCAAAATGCGTTTGCATCTGACTCCCTGCCTCCTCTCCTCCAGCCCCAGCGCTCACAGCCCCTACCCACTTCTGCTTCCCCAAAGCAACCTTTCCAGTGTCCACTCACGGCAGCCAGCCTAAGTCAATACATTCCTCCTCGGTTGACGTCATTTCAAAAGCCACCATATCCTGGTCACTTCCCCCACATAATTTTAGGTTGCCCAAACTCCTGTTACAAGTTCTACCAACTTCAGTGACGTGGCTGCCGGCACCTTGGTTTGCGCCCAGTGGCCCACCAACACAGCTGGAGACGGCCCCAGGTGTCTGGGGTCTATGCCTGGCTTTTGGAGGATGAAGTTTCCCTTTCACATGTGGTCACAACCCATTCTTCACCCTCTATTTACATATCAGGACAGCTGCGTTGAGCCTGCTTCCCCAGCCTCTGCTGTTTCCACCCATTTCCATCCAGCATCTAACACTGCGTTAAGTCAGGGTTATTCAACCTTGGCACCCTTCACACTGGGGCTGGATTGTTCTCTGTTTGGGGTGTGGGTGTGTGTGTGTGTGTGTGTGTGTGTGTGTGTGTGTGTGTGGTGAGGGGCTATCTTATCCATTAGAGGCTACTTAGCAGCATCCCTGGCCTGGACTCAATGCCACAGAACCCTATTCCTTAATTATGATGAACAAAAACTATATCCAGACATTGCCTGGGAGCAAACAAATTCTCATTAAAAACCACTGTGTTAGCTGTTGTGACCTGACCATAATATGATGTGCACTGTCTATGACTTTAATCTTCACCAACAAATCAGAAAAACAAATATGTCCTTATCTAACTTGTTAGTGTCACTGTTGATGAGTAGAGAACAGGGAGGGTCGGAAATGAATGGAATCCACGCAGGTGGAACCCAGTGGCCTAGGAGACAGCAAAGCTAGGAGTGCAGAGCAACCACTGAGGACGGGAAAGGCTGGCAGTGCATCCCAGCTCCATGTGACCAGGACACCTTTGTGCCACAGCTCCTCATCTGGGAAAGGGATCCCAATAATACCAAAGCCACAATAATGAACTGCAGTCATGATGGAGAGTGGGGGGTGCCCATGGCAACTGGTACCTCATGAGTAGGAACCCTGGATAAAGAGAAGGACCAAGGAATGGTGGGATGCAGAAGAGAATGGCAGGAGGGGCTGTGCATACCAGGGAGAGAGACAGACTCCCTCACACCGTCTGAAGATGGTGCACAGTCCCCTGGAGGCTCAGATGGAAGGAAGGAAGCTATGCTTTCTTCCCACAGAACCCTCCCAGTGCTGGTCCTGATACACTGTGAGGGGTTAAGTCCAGAAAGAAGCCACATTTACTGTACAGGCCATGGTTCTGCCCCAGCCCTAGGAACCCCTCCAGAGGCTGGAGAAAGGAATTCTTGTACATGCTGAGAAACTCTATTGTATCCAGTGGGCATCTTCCTGTCTTGCACATGTCTGATTTCAGGTGTGCTGCATCATTTTAAGCTGACTGACTCCTTCTGATCTTCCTTTCCCACTAGATAGTCACAGTTCACTTCCCCAGTCCCAGGACTGAGGCTGCCTTTAAACGTATTGAGTCTGGAATTGATCATTTGCATAGCTCTATCTTGTCAGGCAGCAACAACCTCATGTGTGCTATCATAAGCACAAGGTTTCTGTTGGCATCTGAGCTCATTAAAAATCATGTGGCTAGGGGTAGTCTGAATGAAAGATTAGGGCCAAATGCTTAGATCTAGGAAATCAGCTGAAAAGGTGCCTAGAGCCTGTGACTCTAGTGGAAGGAAATTTTATCCCCTGCAGAAGAACAACCACAGTGAACATCAACATAGTGAAGAAGACTGAACTGTACTTGCACACCCCAGCTTCATAACTTTCTGTTTCTTTGTCCGCATCCCCAAAAACCACTAGAATTGCCATTCTACTAGTATAAATATGTTTACTGTTTTATTCCTGCTGCCCAGGAAAGGGGCTATCTTAAGAATGAGTCTCCATCCTGCAAGGCTTGTTGCAGAGTTACATTGTCCACATGGCAGCCAGCATCCAAGATGGTAGCCAACAACCCTCACCTGTAGGTCCTCACACCCTCACACAATGACTGCAGAGAGTGACCTGTGGAAGGTCTGAGCCTAGCTCATGAAAGCCCTTGATCTTTCCCTGGCCTACCCCAATCACACACAGCTACAAGTGCATTACTCTCCTGAGAGGGAGCCAGATGCCACACCCCGAACATCTCTGTGGGAAGCCCATGTGGTGAGCCATCAAAGCCTTCACTGACTTGCACTCAGCAGCCAGCACTCCCTTGACAGCCATGGGACCCACAGTTGGAAGAGGCTCCTCCAGCACCATCAAGCCTTCTGATGAAACTGCAGCCCTGGCTCATATCTGACTGTTATCCCAAGGAGACCAAAAGCCAGCCCAGCTGTTTCAAATGCCTGGCCACAGGAACCTTGAGAAATAATAGAGACTGAGTGTCCCTTTTCCAAAATGCTTGGGTATGGAAAAGTTTCAGGTTTTTTTTTTCAGATCTTGGAACATTTGCACATTCCTAATGAGATGTCTTGGGGAGGTGACCCAAGTCAAAACACAAGGGAAGGGGGAGAGGGGGAAAGAAAGGGAATGAAAAAAGGAATTAAGATGTGTTGCGTACACATACCAACTCCACACACGAATGCAAACATGATGTATTGCTAGCATGTACTAATAAAGAAGAAAGAAAAGAAAAGATGCCAGAGACTTTAGAATGTGTATGGTGCACCTGCCTGTCCTGCTCACTGAGGCGCCAAATCACCTAAGAGGGAAGAACCAGAGACAAGATTCATCCCAGAAGCATCAAAATCATAACCAGTCTGCAGGCCACGTGACATCACACATGGCTGTGGTACAAGAAGACAAAATGGGCCAGATGTGGAAGGATCCTGTGATCCTGGCTAAGTCACTGTCCTCTAGACTCAGTTTCTTCTTATGTAAAACATGGAGACAGGATTGCATTAACCTCTTCACTTCCTTCTCCCTCTGTTGTATGACTCAGGAAGCTGGTATGTGTGTATTTTCTTGCTGACACATAAATTGCACATATCACAACAAAAAAAATTCATTTGCATTTCATAGACACATTACACACATGGCTTGAAGTAGGGTCATACAATATTTTTAACAATTTTGTGCATCAAACAAAGTTTCACAGTGTGGAATTTTCTAATCATCATGTCAGTACACAAAAAGTGTCAGATTTTGGATTTTGAATATTTGAATTAGGAGTGTTTGACCCATACACGATGATTGCTGTTTTAAGCCACTATGTTTAGGGTAATTTGTTTCGCAGCAAGATACAGTAAATCCAGAATCACAGCAGAGCCTGGAGACAGAAGCAGCCAGTGGCTAGTGAGTATGCGGACCTCTGACAAAGACGCCCCGAAACACGGGGAGGGGTGGTGAGGTCTCGGCTGTGTTCTGGCAGAGTCAAGGTGAAACTTTCTGGTGTATCAACTCGGCAAGAAAAAACAAAACGGAGATTGGAAGGAAGGAGGGAGCAGCACCTGCCCCAGGCGCTCCCGGACCTTCAGCCCTTGCCCTGCGTTTCTCCAGCTCCCTGTCTACCTGTGGAAGAAGGCAGATGATAGGACTGGCTCTCAAATTCAGCAAGGACCACAACATCCAAGCCTAGCACGTACAAATTAGGGAACCAGGATCAAAGATGAGCCCAAAGTCCAGTTTGGCCTACTGTCACGACATGATAACTCAGAATCCTTCATTCTGTCATTTCCTTCTCTCTTTTCTCCTCTCTCCATTTCATCAATATAAGTACTCTTGACTCTGCTTTTTTTT